GATTAAAACTGAGTATGCTCGTAAATCTTTCTATTTTATGGGAGCTAAGATTTATAACGACCTACCTATAGAATTAAGAAAGATTGAGAACAATCCGGATTTTGAGAATAAGGTTACGGAACATTTTAATGAATTATAAACGGTTTTAAATATGGTATATAAGAATTAGTTCTTAATGTACATATAGTTTTTAGAGTTTTTAATAGTTAGTTCTGTGTGGTGGGAAGTGGTGGGAAAATTGACTGAAAGCGCTTGAAGTCAACGCTAAAATTCTCCTTGTAACATTGGAATATGACAGTAAAGCAATCATATCTCTCTCGCAGCAAGCACACAAGATAATTCTTTCATGTCTCGTTCTCTTCGCACTTTAGATTTTCATCTGCGTCTACTTGCGCTGACACTTGCCAAGCAACTCCTCGCGCAAAGCCGCACGTCAAAGGATGAAGGAACGACCCACACATTGAGAAACGTCTTGCCTTAAATTAAATGCAGTGAGATTATAAAAGTACTAGCTGTATATAAAGTGAAGAAAATAGACTTAATTTTACCGAGCTAAAGATTGCGTTCTTCACAGCTGTAGAAAGTTTTGTAATTTGCGCCAAAATTTGAAACTTGCGGATTTGCGTCACTGATCTTGTGATAACTCGATAAGCCACTTAAATGTATATACATTTTTGTGTGCATTTGTCGCTGAATAATATGACGAAAAGTTCTTATACTTTCGGCGAATATGTGCATATAACGCAGAAGTGCTTTTAATTGTATTACAGAAACAAATACTATATCCACACTTATAATATACGTGTAATATCGTCTGTCATTGGTGTAATTGTGGTATTTGGAGCGTGCTAATTTATTGTTAAGAATACAAAAAAATTGCTAAGAAAGATAAAAACCAAATAAAAACTTGCTTCTGACTTTGTCCGCCATGTTGTTAAACAAACCACCATGGAAATAACAATATTATCGTGTTTAGCCACTGCATCCATGCCGATAGTGGCGCTGGCGCGATTTCATGATGGCGACGGATATTATTTATATCACGCGAAGAACATGTTCGGCTTGCAGCAGTATAAATCTAAAGTATTCCTACTGCATTATCAACTAAAAACATTGACAGGGGATCAAAGTTTCTTAGGAATGGGGCGTGGGGGTGGAAATCTTTTCTGTATTCTCACTGGGAACGGAAACCTTTTCAGACTGTTCATCTAGAATAGGTGCTGGTAAACTTAGATCATCATTGATTCTGGTGTAACATTTTCACTGTCCGTCACCATATTCTGTTCACTATTTTCTCCGAGCTGTGACAGTGCATTTAATTCATCAACAGCAATGAACGCTATCATTGGTTCCGTTTGGTCTTCGCTCATGGGTTCCTTCACATTTTTTTCAGATAGATCTTCATCAAAAGACACTGTGACTGCAGAATCTTTACTACCACTCGATTCAGTTCCCAGTAGGGTTAAGTCATACTGCAGGTTATCGTCCTGGGTTGTTATGTTACTTTTTACAAAGAAAGTACTGATTTTCGACTGGGATGAATCCAATGATTCCATCACTGGATGACATTTTACTTTTTTACCATTGTGAACCAATCGAGAATGCATCTCTTTATAATCACTGTCGATTTCCTTATTGCATTCCTCGCACCGAACGCGATGTCGGTACTGTCTTGCTTGGCTATTGAGTGTTGTAATCTTCTAGGCGATTGTTTCTATAGCGATCGTGGAGCGAATGGTCGTAAAATCAATAATTTTTTAATGATTGTAAAAAGATCGCTCACTTTTATGTCTATCTAAAAGTCTAAAATTAGTCACATTAGGTCATTGTACAGTATTTGTACGGTTACGTCAATGTCAATTACAATGTAGTATCTATTTCAGTGACTAGTGTGTCATAACCGCGGTGCCGCCCAAGGCCAGAGACTGTATTTACGCAACCAATGCTATCAAAGGAGATAAACATTACGGATCCGATTGTTACTACGCACACTTATACCACACCTACGCAATATGTGTAGCTATATACTATATACTTATATAGTTTAATTAGTTGTATAGCCTACATTATGCTAGGTAAAACTGCTGAATATAGGCATGAATACAGTAGTGACATTTTATTAGTAGCCATGATAGCAATTGTTCCTTCGTTCTAGCCGTTTATGTAGAGATTTACGTCTGTGATATGTGCGTAAAAATCAAAACCAAATCCGATTAAGTTGGAGCACTAGCAGTACTTGACCTTTAATAAACGTTAACCTGACGCAACATGCTTGAATCAAGCTATACGATCTATGGTAGTAATAAATATACACAAACGTTGCCATTACATATTTACAGTGTATGATTGAACTTGTAAAAGTTGAACTTGTTGGAATAATACTTCTGTTCCACTTTATGGATCAATATATTCATCTAATCACCAGACCGTCGCTGCCCGAATGACAAGACAATTTTTGCCCGAATAGATAAATAAAAAAAATTGGGGGGGGGGGGAGCTGCCCCCGCCAGCCCCACCCTCCTGTATGCCTATGTAATTTAAATTAAAAATTAAGAAACAAGTAAAAAGCATTGTCCACTTAAGCAAAGGCTGTTATGCTTCTTATTTACAGCAAAGCGAAATAACCGCAACACAAAAAAGTCAGGGTCACCGAACTCGTTAAGAAGATATGACAATCACAATATCACCTTTACCCCAATATGGCGCCATCTTTACACTCATTACGAGTAACAGCAAACTCACAACAGCCTGATATTTATTGACTTTTTAGCGTGGATTTTACTTTAGTAAAACCTATCTTGTAATTGTTTGTGAAAAAATTGTGTTTTTCAACAAATGTCTTTTCCACATTTCTTTACATATCTTTCTTTGAGAACATGCATTGATAAAGCATTTTTTTCAAGATCCAGAAATGATTTTTCTTTTAATTTCGGATATGAAATGTAAAATGCATTAAAGGAATAAATTATCAGTTAAAAAACGGGAGTCACCAATCATTTTAAGGAATTGTGGCATTAAAACCTGAAATACAAGTAAATAAACATACTACAGACATAGGGAACTCTAGCTACACTTTTGTATGCCTTTTTCGAAAACATTGATTTTAATGTAATTCTTTGCACGAATGTAACCAAGAATGTTTTGAAGTAACATAAAATTGTCATAAAATGATATTTTTTTAAATGGTACTGAAACGGATGAAATTATAAGTTATAAGATGTGCATAGTAAAAGTGCGCAATGCAAAACTGCGGAATTACCTTAACAGCAAATTTAAACTGATACAGGTAGAATAAACTCATTTATAGTATAAACATTTATAGTATAAACATTTATAGTATAAATTGCTTTAGGGAGTGTTCATTATTTATACCCGGGGTTGGTAACAAAGAGAAATGGGTTGGGTAAGCCATTTTTCTGGGGTATGAAGGGTTGGGTAAATATTTTTTGAACAAAGCCTATGGTTGGGTAAATTATTTTCAATACAAACCTTCAATTGAACAAAATATGAAAATCATTTATTTAACAAAATGGGTCATTCCAGGAAATATCCATTCATTTTTCACAAAGAAAACTAAACTCCAACTCCCCATTCCCTCTGACTACAACAACGAGGTATGGTAGGACTGCAGGAACAAGGAGGCTTGGGAACATAATATGAACTTGTGAAGGTACAAATGATATATTTGACATTCGGTTAGTGCACCAAATATACACTGTACTGTTTATACTATAGTGGCCTAGCTAGTATAATAATACTGTATATATGTATATATGTAAAATACTTGTATAATTTTAAAATTGGGTTCGGTAAAATAAAAATTCAAGTCCTGCAATAGTTGGGCAGGGAAAAAATGGTTGATCGAAAGGGTGTGTGGTTGCTTTTTTCGCTTTTCGATTAGTTTCTCTTCGGTACCAACCCCGGGTATAAATAATGAACACTCCCTAAAGCAGGTTTCGGATTAATTTCGGATCACAGAGTTATGGGGCTAATTTGAGAACTTGTGAAATCTACTAGGCCTTTACGAGGCAAATGACCATTGCGATAATTACCAGCCAAGTTTAGGCCTAGGTCTAGGCTGCCCTAGTGTCACAAGAATCCACACAATATGAAACAGGGTTTTTTTATGCTTGATCCAGAATGAAATTAATATTAGCTGAAAACCAG